GGGGCTGGCCGAGACCGTGGCGCCGGAATTCGGCGCAAGGCAGGTGCCAGCGGGTATCACGTCGTCTGGGGCTGCTGGGGGGGCTTATCAGCACCCCCTTGAGTGACGAGCAGGGTTTAACCACTGCTGAGCCGTTTATGCCTTGTGCTTTGCTGTTTGCATTTAATGCTCCCCACTGGGATAATAAAATTTCTTGTACTGGGACAAAACGCATCAGGGATTTGCAGGGAGATGTGGAGCAAGCGTGAGTAACCATATAGAGGGGTCGGATTTTGGGGTAGGGGAGCTGCAGACCTGGGCCAGCATCACCTGGGTATTTGGCTGTATTTTCTGTGCTTCCTGGCGTTTGCTTTAGGGCAGCGGGGAGTTTTGTACAGCTCTGGCATCCAGCTCATCGGCAGCCTCATATGGGCACCTCCATCCCGGCTGTGCCCCTTCCCTGTGCCAGCTGCGGGAAGAGGGTCTCTCCCTCCCTGCAAAAGGGGCGATTTGTGGCCGAGCGCTGCATATTGGCCCAGGGGCCCGCAGTGCCTCTTAGCACTGGGCATTTCTTTGTGCAGGTTTCTATATCAGGTGCCAACAGGGCACGTGGGCAATGCAGCTGCTGGACCAAGGGCTCACACGGATGCGGTGGGCTCCATGTGTCTGCTGGGCCTTTGGATAACTATATTATAATGCCCCTTTTACGGCATTTTCCCTTCTGAGACTTCCTGAATCCTTTAGAGACGTTAACTTCTTCATTAGTTCTGTGAAAGTTAACAGGAGATTAAAACAGCCTGCGTGCCCGCACCTGGGTAAGATCCCAAAATAATTTCCCTGTTTCTCCTGGCTCTGTTCCCATTTCGTGGGTCTGGGTCACTTTGTGTGCTGCTGTGTCTCAACAGCAGAGCTAAAGGATGTGCTGCAACACGTACTGGAACTTAATCCTGACTTCTTCGGAGCAGATTAGCAGCACACTTGGCCTCGTTTGACTCCCTGCGTGTTATTGGGGCTGAATCCGTGCCCTCAGAAGCATTGATGCCAAAGTGCAAACCCTGCCTGCGGTTCCAGTTAAAGATTAACTCGCTGGTTTTTTATGTTCAGAAGAAGACAGGAGGGAGAGCGACTCCCCGACACGCAGCACCCTGCGTGGGGAGGGCTGGTACCGGGGCAGAGGCTGGTGGAGCCATGTTTGGGGTTTCCAAGGGGGGTGCCCCTGGTGTCTACAGGGCTTTGCTGCTGCAAGAGAGAGGTGCTGTTGGAATAAGCAAAGCCCAATCCCTGGAGATACCATGCTTCCTTACGGCTTTTGTATGCCCAGTGCACATGCTGGAGAAGCCAACTGGCCCTCCTCACCCCACAAAGGCTGTTGGAGCCAGAACAGAGGCATTTAGGCTTTGAATCATTCACTGCATGGTTATTCCCATGTGTATGAGGCAGTTTGGGTCAGGAGTCCTCACCTCTAGTCCTGACACAGCCAAAGAGCCCTGGTGGGAGGTTTGGTGCAGCAGGGGTGATGGTGAGATGAAGAGGACTGAATCCCGGGAAGCGACGGTTTTCCTGGGCGGCAGAAGCAGCAGCACAGCTTGCGGGGACCCGTGTCGACCCTGCCTAAAACAGACACTGCTTCTTGTGTTTCTGTAGGTGAGAAACCTCTGTTATATGGTGACGAGACGGGAGAAGATGAAACACACCATTTGTAAACTCCAGGAGCAGATCTTCCATCTCCAGATGAAGCTTATTGAGAAGGACCTTTACCCAGGTCAGTACCACTTACCGGAGCTTGTTCTGGCCGGCGCTGTCCCTGCCGTCCTCTGAAGCCAAAGACTCGTGCCCAAGCCTCTCCCCCCATCCCAGCAAACCCAGAGCTGCCCCCTCCCCTGCGGTGTTATTTAAGCACGGTTCCTATTTGACTCTGCACATCTCCGGTTTTGTTCGGAAACACGCAATAAAGCCATACCCTGGGTGACCGGAGTGTCGGAGCTCCTTGTTTTCACAGATCCCTCTCGATCCTCCTCCCCACGGGAATCGGTCGGAAGGACCGAGCGTGTGGTTAGGTGGTGATGCCGAGGCAGTGTTTCGGTGACTTTCGAGGAGGTGGAGCTGTTTGGAGGGAGACGGCAAATCCAAGGCATGGGGCTGATCCATGGCAGCCGGCTCCCTGGCCCGGGTCGGCAGCCCTGGCTTTGGGCTCTTTGCAGATGCCTCTGGCTCTATCAGGAATGGAAGGTGAAGCTGCTGGTGGGATGTCTGTTACTGCTTACAGCTGCTTTAGCTCTGGTCGGCTGCAGGTCCTTGCTCCACACACCTATTAGTGGGAAACCTCTCTCCTACCGCCTACAATGCCTCTGGCACCTTTTGTTGAGGAACTGAAGTAAAGTTGCTTTCCTTCTGTCCTATATTTTTTCCCTTTTGCACAAGCGGTGCCGGAGCACACAGCTCCTGCTCCCTCCTCCTTCCCCTCTGGTGGCAGCATGGACCAAACCCCGTGGCTGCAGAACAGTTTTTCCAGCAGCAGCATCTGGCGCTTTGGCAGGCTCTTCCCACGGTCGTTGTGTTTGTGGCTTTGGAGTTGTGTTTGAAGTCATCACATGGTCGGGGCTTCTTCAGGAACCGGCTGGGCTGAGCTTTCCTTGACAAAAGTTCCCTTTGACTGAAAGTTTTGGAGGCTGAGAAATGTGTACGTTGAGATGTTCGTGACTCGGAGCCTGTGCAAAATTCTTCTCGATGGCCAGAGGCAGGTGGCAACATGGGGCAGGGAGCCCAGGGCGTGCTCCAGGGAGATGTGGGTCCTGCAAATCTCAGTCCTTGTGACACTGATCAGTGATGCTGTGTGTTGCTCCGTCCATCCTCACTGAACCAGCAATAAGGGTCACCAACCTGGGCACACACAAAAGGGTGTTCCCAGCAGTTCCCACCAACTCCTTGCACATCCCAAGAGCCATTCCCTGGCACCCAGGACCTTTGTGCTGGGTGATGCTCCCAGCAGTGATGCTGCTGGCCAGGAGAGCCAGGGTGGCTAAAATACAAGAGCAGCAAACTGAGATCCTGAAGGCAGATGCCACACACCAGGCTCTCTGGGTTTTGAGGGGATCGCTGGGGACCTTGTGATGTTCTTCGGTTCAGCTGGTGGAACACGGTTTAGGATTTGCAGCTCTCGGGGGGCGGGCGCAGGGTAGTTCGCCAGGAAGGCTTCTGGAGCTCAGCTCCCTCGCAAATGGGCTGTTGGACGGCTGGAAATGCCCCTGGGGACCCGTGCCAGGGAATTGCTTCATATGTTTTGATGCAGACGTTCTTCTCTCCTGCCCCAAACGGTTGGTGTTGACCAGTTTGTTTTCTGCTCTGAACTGTCTGAGCTGAGCTGCTCATCTCTTCCTGGGACAGGCTGTTTGGTTGAGCTGGAGCAACATGTTTCTGCCCCTGGCACCCGGCTCCCACCAGTTGCTGCTGCCAGGGAAAGGGCCCGGCTTTGGGAACTTGGTTCTGGGATCTCCAAGTGGTTTGGGCACCTGGGTCCTTCCCATGCCAGGGGAGCATGAGGGACCCAGCATGGGTGCATAGGGTGTCCTGAGCTTGGGAGGGGCTCCCTCGCCAGGAGGCAGCATCAGCCCATAAGTTGTGGTTCCAAATGGGGGAGGAGAGGGTGGCCCGGCTAGCCGTGACGGTCACGGTGCAGGTAAGAGCACGGCACCAGTACGTGCCTCCTCCCTGATGCAGGACACAACCCGCGCTGATCTCCAGGTGCTGCCCACCGGCGGGCGCGGGCACCGGGGCCATCCGCAGCGTGGCACGGAGGGGTGGGTGGCGTGAAGGAGGAGCACGGAGCCGAGCTGCAGGAACTGGTTTGGTGCTTATTTTCTGCTTTGGCTCCAAGTTGTCCCGTCCTGAACATGGGTTACGTTATAGATCCTGATCCTACCAAGTGCTCCTGACGCCCACGTGTTCACTAAGCCCCCTCCGTGCCAGTTGACGATACTTAGAGCCAAAGATGCTCAGCACCCAGTGGGTCAAGGCTGTGGGTAACTCATCGCTGTATTTTGCATCATTACGAAGTGGTCATTGGTTTGAAAGTGGGGGGGATGGTTCTTGTGGCATCCCCTCTGCACAGCTCCCAACCAGGCTGCTCCTCCTGCCTGGTGTTTCTTGGAGAAAGGAAAAAGTCTGCGTTATTTTGCCTGGATGAGGCCAGTTTTTAACTGCTGTTTCGGTAGTCATCGGTCGAAAATCTGTTGGGCTTATTCCAAAGATGGTTTTGGCACCAAGTTTTTTTTTTGGAATGGCTCCCGCGTAAAACTCAAAACCGGAGGGGTTTATTTTTCCCGCTGACAAATGATCATTTAAGCAGGAGATTTTTTTTTAATAAAATCAGTGAGAACCGCCCGTGTAAAATGAACCCACCTCTCCCCTCTATTTTTCTTGCATGGCGTGGAAAGCAAACACTGTCTGGCTTTGCAACACAGCTACTATTTTGACAGGTTCCTCTTCAAAAAGTAGGGCTCGGGTTTCTCTTTGGCCCCATTGTGCTGTCTAAACAAAGTGAGATTTTTATTTTGTAAGCGAAGTAAAATATGTGTCTGCGTTTCTCCAGTTAGTTGGCAGGAACGTAGCGAACACCGATTTTGCTTTTTGCTTTTCTTTCTTCCAGCGGGTCCGTTGGCCAGGAGGGGTTCCTGGCTTGGCAACCCCAGGGCTGTAAATCCTCTGTTAATCCAGACTCGGGCAGGTGCAACGTGAAATCCCTTCCCTCGCTTGCCCGGTACATTTCCACTGCTGCAACAAGGGGAGAGCAGAGGTTGTTCCCCCTGATCCATCCAGTCCATGGCCTCCCTGCTCAGAGGTTTTTCCCTCTGACCCATCCAGTCCATAGTTTCCCTGCTGAGGCCGTTTGCAGGTTTGCTGCTGGCTGACATAATTAGCTGATAAGTTTTTTAAAATCATTTCTCCGGTAGCTGCGCAAGGTTGAACTTCTCGGTTCAACCTATGGGCTGGACTCTGAAGTCCATCAGCCACTTGCATGTTGATTTGAGGGCGATACCCTGCCCCTCTGAAAATTAATAGAAGTTCTAGCATGGACTTCTTTAGGGGAATGACCTAACGGAGTAAGTAAAAACCATTGGAGTACGTTACTTGGCGATACAAGTCAGACTTTTATAGGGTGTTTGTCCCATTTACCCAGGAGGAATAAATCCAGCAGAAGTTCAAAGCCATGTAGGAAATATTGATTTTTAGCTGAATGTTCTGCATAGCTAAGAGTTATATCCCTGGCTTTCCGTGGGCAATGGTGGTCATCTTTCCTACTCCATTTATTGATATTCAATACACTGCTGGAGGTTTAGAGCTTTTTTTTCACCCCCGCACAGCATGAGTGTGAGCAGTTACTGTTGTCGAAAGGTCAAATCAAATCAAGGTCTGCTTTAAAGCGCTGCTGGTGCCGTTGCTGTCAAACTGGCTTTGTAGCTGAATCCCTTCAGCAGATGCTCTTGTCGGTGACGGGTGATGCACCACCGGGTATGGAGGTCCCCGGGTCTCCTGGGAGGTGGCTGAGCAGGGTTTGGGGTTGCTCCTGCTGCTGCTCACCCCAAAGCTCCGATCCACGAAGGCGTATTGGTGGCTGTAGGGTCTCCAGTGAGTCCCCTGCCTTCAGTGGGACTGCTCCTGCAGGCGTGCTAAGTTCACGGCCAAGACTCAAACCTCTTTTTTATATAACTTACAGGATTCAGATTTTCTTAAGCTCTAGAGACTTTAGCCTACTGTTGGCCAAAAAGTAGCCTGCTCTTCTCCCTTTGGCTTGGAGTTGTTTGCGAGTCTGGTCCAGGTCTCCACCACAGGGTTGTGTCCCAGCGGAACTTGCATCCCTGATGCCTCGTCTCACATGGCGTTTTCCTTTTTTTCTAAAAAATGCCAGAACAAACTGGGAAGAAGACAAAGGGTAAGAAAAGTGACCCGAGAAGGAAAGGAAGAGATGGTAGAAAAAGTAGTCCCGAGAAGAAAGAGAAAAGGAAATCGGTCAACGAATCTGTTTTGGGACAACTGGGTAAGTCTGGTTTTATGGGTGCAGAGTTGACCCGTGCCACTGGAGGCTCCCTGGTTCGGGGAGCGGGGTGAAGGGTCCCAGCCCTGATCCCTCCTGCGTGGCCGTGGTGGAGATACACCCATGGCCATGAGAGCCTCTTCCATCTCTGCCTTGTGGGCAGCGGCCCAAATCACCGAGGTCCTGCGGGAGAGATCACATCGGAGACGTGGTCCCCGGCAGTGCAGGGGTGTAAAATCCAACCCCCCCGGCCCCAGGGCTTGCACCCGGATTGGGAGAACGTGTTACAAAACCTGTGATTTGCTGATGAAGAGTGATTTCACTTTCTGGTGATAAAATCAGACTTACCCACCCCGGAGTAGGGCTGATCTCCCCGTATCTTCTGTGCTGAGCACCGATGGTGGATACGGCACACGTGCTGTGCGTTTTCATGGCATCTGCTGTCCAGGACCCTGCGGTCACAGTGGTTGTGCCAGCGGTCCGGGAGCACCCAGGAGGCAGGCACGAAGTGTGGCTGATCTCTTGAATTTGGTCCAGGGGTGAGGAGATGCTGGCTGGCTCTGCGGAGGCTTCATCCACCTCTGGCTCTTCCCCATCAGCTGCAACCTGCTGCTCGGCAGCAAGTGAGGCTGCAGGAAAAGTGAAAAAAAAACAGAACAGAAAAGGTCTTTTTTGACAAGATCCTTGACAACTGCATATGGTTTTTACGCGGAATCGGGGTTTTGTTCAGCTTCTCCGATGCTGTCACTTCCGCCAGCATGTGGGGCAGGAGGTGATGAGTTTGCATGTGCTCAGCTGCTCTGCGGGTGCAGGGGTGCACCAGTCTGTGGGGCTCTTGGACAGTCCAGGGGTGCTATAAAACCCACTTGGGGGGTACAGAGAGTTTCTGCGGGAGGTCCGGGCATCTGGGCCACCCTGCCTTGCTCTGCTTTGCCCATCGCTCGCCCCAACTGCTGCTTTCTGTTCCCCTCAAAGCTGTTGGGTTTTAGGCAGGAGCCCCTTTAGAAGTGGGGCTTTTGCACTCATCCTATCTGTGCTGCTCTCTGCAAAAGAGATTTTGGATTTTCTTAGGCAAATTCTGTCAAGTGATGGAGGGTTGGGGCATCTCTGAGAAAGCTGCAATTCCACAAGCCAGGGAAACGAGGCAGCTCACCCAGAGCTTCACCAGCGTCTTGTGACCTCCTGGATTTCTTAAAGAGCTTGAAGCATCACTTGGGGCTGCAGTGACCAGAGAAGGGCTGGGGGAAGGCAGTGCCCTTGCTAAGAGGGCAAGAGCTTGGGCTGCTCGGTTCCTGGGTACCACGCGGTGCCCTAAACTCATCCCTGCTCCTGGTTCTCCTCCCCTGCATTGGGCTGCTGCCGGGGCGGGAGGGGTGTCTTCTCCAGAAGGGAGAAGGGAGAAGGGAGAGTGTTGCAAAGCTGTAAAATGAGACCAGCAAACATTGTGGACATGAGTCACCATGCCTGTGCCACTGCTTGTTCCCTCTTCCGCTGCTGGAGTGACTGCTTTGGGAGGAAAGCTCTCACCTGAAATCAAAAAGCAAACCTAATTTTTCCTCCATCCATAAAACCAGCTCTGATGTTGAACCCATGGGTGTCTGTTCGGGGGATTAAAACCGCGTGTCCTCGTGCACCGACGTGCCTTTGCAGTTGGGAATTAGACCCGACCCAGCCCACAGTGCTCACCCTTGCTCTCAGACATCATTATTAGGAAGTTTTTCAGCTTTTTCCATTCCAGCCTGTCATCTCTGCTCCTCTTCTTCCTTTTCACACCTCTCGAGTCTTTGGAGATGTTCTCAGACCCACTTCCCTCCCTCCCCGCCTTTGCACACAGATCTGGTACCGGTCCCACCACCCCACTGCCCATCCTGGCTCGGGTGGTGTCTGGGGTTTCGGCAGCACGTGGTGGCACGGCGGCAGCTACTCCCGGGGGAATCTGTCACCCCTCACCTGGGCACAAGTCCTGCTCTGGAGGCAGTTGCTTGAGTTGGTGGTCCTGCTGCCTTTGCACAGGAACGTGTTTTCCGCCCGTGCTGGGGTGGGTTGGGGATTGGCCTCTTCCCTGCAGAGAGACAGGGAGGTTCATGGAGTGCCAGATGTGGGGGACCACTCGGGTTGTTGTGCTGTGACCTCGATGGACCCCCAGTTCAGCACCAGTGCTGGGGTAAACCCTCTTCTGTGCCCTGATGTGGTGAGTCTTGGTTGACCTTTTGAACGTTTCTGCGGTGCCCAGGGAGTTTCGGTGAAGTCGGTGCTGGTGTCAAAGGGTAGCGTGGCTGTTCCTGGCTCCTCAGGCAGTCTTTTACTTTTGTTTCTTCCAGGCTTGTCAACCTCCTTCCCCATCGATGGGACCTTCTTCAACAGCTGGTTGGCGCAGTCGGTCCAGATCACGGCCGAGAACATGGCCATGAGCGAGTGGTCCCTCAACAACGCCCACCACGAGGACAGCACCCCCGGCCTCTCCGAGGAGCTCCTCCAGGATGAGGAGACCTTGCTGAGCTTCATGATGGACCATTCCCTCCGGTCCCCGTTCAAGCAGAGCGAGGCCACCAAGAAAGTGAAAAGCAAAACGAGAACGAACTCTAAGAAAAAGCTGCCCAGGAGCAGCCCCCCCGCCGTGGGCGGGAGCCACCTGGAGAGCTC